CACTCTGTCATCTTCTTCAGCACTCTCCACATTTTCCCCTTGATCCCGTATTTGGACAGTTGTTTCCACAACCCATTTCTCCACACGGTGTCGTATGCCTTTTTCACGTCCAGGAAGAAGCAGTACGTCGGCTTTCCCGCCCTCTTTCTACCTTGGATGATTCTCCCTACCGTGAACACGTGGTCTACGCACCCCCTCTTCTTGCGGAAACCTGCCTGGCCCTTACTAATGCTATGTTCCTTCTCCAATACTCCCACTATCCTATAGGCAGGGGGGTGCGATCAAAAGCGTGCGATGGTAGCAACAGTGAGATCGCGGCGGCACCGAACATGATACCGCCACAGCAAACCGTATCTATGTAGCAGTAGCAGCAACTTGTATCGGCGCCGATGATCGCGAACGCGTCTAGCCTGTGGACTTCAAGCTACCTTTCAAAAGAGTACTGACGGGTACACCAGGGTGAAACTACCGTCGTATGTACAACGCCATGGAAATTCGAGCGGTTTTGATGAGGATCGGCGTGTAGTTGGTCAGGGCCTTCAACGAACCTGGCCTTATCGGCAACAACGCCCGGCCCATGCTGTGGGGTCGAAAGGTCGGGTTACATCGGCTGCTGATCGCCGGTACCCTAACACGCGCTTAAGTACCTAAGTCCCTCCCTCGCCGGATCGCGTGCGTCTCGCTATATATCTAAATGTTTCCCCCTCTACTGCTGTCTTGGTCTCTCTGTCGTTCTCTCTCCATCCCCAACACGGCCCGAAAAAAATCACCCAAACAAGACCCGCTGGGACTGGGCGTCGGGGAGTTCTACTCTCGCCTTGTGGCAGGCATGCTCAACAAGGGGACGCCGCTCGGGGACGGGGACGGCGCCTCCCCCAACGGACCGGTGCCGACGTTCTCGGATCTGCAGCCGTGGCTCGAGAAGATCAAGAACCCCGCTCTGGCTTGCACCACGGCGCAGAGGGTGGCGGCGAGCATGACGAGGTAACGGGTTCCTCTTGTTGTTTAGCCGTCATATGTGCTATTTACCGCATTTGATGGTAGTTTCGCTGAGGGATCATTGTTCTCGGCGTGAATCACTTGATGTAAGTGTTGGATTTGGTGAGGCAGAGACAAGTGTGCCACTTTCCGTACAAATTGGAAACGACCCGATGTATGTAGTTCCATAGTTTGTGTCCGTTTTGCATCTTTGAATAGGGTAATTAGTTTATTTGCACAGTAGCGTAGTTGGTTGCAGTGGGGAGAACGAACAAGTGTGCGGCCTTCCTCCTGCGTGACTGACAGACCCCGGCTGATGCCTCCAGATCATATCCCGCAAGGTTTACTTGTAAGAGCTGGCGTCCGAAGAACGCATTGGACGCCTCACACACACACACATTTGAGGACTCGTCAGCTTGGGTGTTGTCGAGGGAAAGTGGGTTGCTGAACCCCTTTTTCACGACAATATTGATATTTCGACGATAATACTCGAAGGCATCCCCCGCCCATGAATCCTACCTTGTGTGTGTCCCAGAACGTAGCTCGTCGGTAGGCATGCATTCATGGATGGGTATCTGCGAGCTAGGACGGCGGTGGCAGGAGGGGGGAAAATCGAAAAATAGAGCTGCAAAGTAGTGGAAACGTATTAACTTCGAGCACCCCAAGCCTCACTCAGTTCCTATTACGGAAGACAAGGTTTCCTTTCCTTTTTTCATGTTTTTTTTTTCTTCTTAAACTTCCAAGGATTTCGTCCAACGCATGGAAACTGTGCCTTGGATCCCTGGTCCCGCACAAGGGGGATAACGGAATAGAAGTATGTAGCAACACGCCCCAACACCTTGATCAGACCTGGGCTGCTGTAGGCACCGCTGCAGGGTGGGGGGCCCGTAACGCCGGTGGAATTGTCGGGTACCCGCCAAATTGGCGATGAACTTACAGGCTGGTACATCTGGTGCTACAGTATACCTATACTTCGCTTTCATGTGCCCTTTCTGTCAACACAAAGTACGTCCATTGCTTTTTGTCTACAATGTCCTCAAGAAAACGTCCATCGATTTCTCTCTCTCTTACTGCTTTTTTCTCCGTTCGTACGTAGGGACGAGGATCGTCTGGAAGCCCTGCATGCAGCCATCGGACACGCCATCACCGCGGCCGGATCGCTCGACGACGAGGATCAGGGGCAGGACGAGCAGCAGCCCGAAAATAGTCCCCGGTCTTTGTTGACGCTGCTGCCGCTGCCGTCGCTAGCCGCAGAGAGCACCGCCAACAACAATCAGGACCCTACTACCAAAGCAGGCGGCAGGGGCGAAGTCGAAGAGGAGATGGAGGAGGGAGGGGGAGAGGTGGAGGCCGAGGTCGTCGTAGACCGTCTCCAGCGGAGGGCGCTGCGGCTGGAGCACCTCATGACGGCCAAGGCTTGCGTCGGGGCTGACATGGCGGAGCGCCTGTCGCCGTTCCTGCTGTCCGGGTGCGTTGTTACATGCCCCATTGTATGCATGCGTTCTCTTGTATCTCTGCTCTCCATGTTACCACTGAGCCGTCGATTTTCATCCATCTTCCCTGCCCTTCAACTTTTTTACTTGAACCGTCTCTCTGTCTCCGTTGTCCCTGATTTTTCGCTTGGCCTTCCAGCTCAACGGAACTCCTAACGGAACTCCTCGTCGTTGCCGCAGAGGGCGCCGCCGACGCCGCTCTCGCTCTCCCCCCCACCTCCGGGGAAGGGTATCATCACCATTCAGCGGCCACCGAGTGCATGGCTGCGACGACGACAACGACGGGGAGTTACTTCAGCTCTACGGCGGCGGAGGCATTCGCAGTAGCAGGCGTCGGGGGAGGAAACATGTCAGACTTCCGTAGGCGGGCCACCGGCGCGCTCCAGGCGGCGAGGTCTGTGGCCGACCAGCGCGGCATGGACCCCCACGATGTCGAGACCATCATCTTCCGGCTGGCCAAGAACTGGATCTGCCAGCATAAGCTCGGCGGCGGGGCCGGTAGTACGAGCGGACATGGCGGGGGCCCCGCCTCCGTGGCCGGGGAGAGAGACGCCGTGATATTTGTCGGCGCTGGGTTGGTCGGCGGTGGCGGCGGCGGCGGGGATTCCGTGTTCGTCAAGGATGCTCGCGAGGTGAGTTTTTCATGTGGCGACGTAGGTATGATCGGCGCGGGGGGGTGATAGAGGTGATCGCCGGCGTTGTTGGAGATGCAAGTAGGTGTGATTGGAGAGTTTTTCCAACCTTTTTTGCGACCACGCAAGTTGAAGAAGCTGTTGCTTGGAAGTCCTTTTCTGACCACATGGCTTCCAAAACCGAACAAAATGTAGTCTACATTAGCGCGATGTGTCCGATATAGCTGCCACTCTATGACTCGGAGGACCCAAAAGAATGTGCTGGATGGAGACAAACACGACACGACGAAATCTGCTGGGGTGAAGCTCGTTGTTTGTCGGTGAATGCAAGTTACCCTCGGTCAACATCGGCTATAAGCAGCACGTGTAGAAGTCGCTGCTGGGAGCGTGACTCTTGTCGGGGGCGTCGTGTGCTTGAGTTTGTAACATCAGTATTTCTTATGATACTGGATTGATCAGCGTCATTGCATCAACTCTTGTCGTACGATACTTGATTGGCAACATCTTTCTATCGTTCTCCTCTTTGGACTTGCTACTGTTGTTGCTGTTTCGGCCGAGCAACGTCAGTAGACCAACGCCTTGTCTGAAAGCAAGCAACCGTCATGTCACTCGGGTTCTCATGACTTCCTACTGCTATTTTTTTTTCGTCCTGGTTTCCGTTCGTTATTTTTGATGACTTCCTACACACACAAAACACACACACACCGCTGTTGGCTATTTTTTTCCCCCGCTTCTTCTCGGTATTTTCGTCCTCTCCCCCCCCCAGGAGAGAATGCTGGAGGACGCCACCCTGGCCTTGCGGGCTGCCTTCGTGCTGACGGTATCCTTCTCCGACGATGCGGTGGACGGGGACACGAACGTGTGCGACTCCATCGCCTTCATGGACCTCAAGTCGCGAATGTCGGTGCTGCTGTCCATTGCCAAGGACGGCCGCAGGGATGGTCGCTCAAACAGGTTATTCGCCGCTTTCTGGCTTGTGTGTGTTTGCTGAGTTGAGTTTGTAACCGAGAATGGAGAATACCAGGTTATTGGACGCGTTCTTGTGTGTGTTTGTCTGTCGACTTGAGTTTGCGATCAAGATTGGCTTATTCCAGGTTGTTGCCGCCTTCTGTTGTATCGGTTGAGTTGAGTTTGCGTTCACGGAAGGCTTTGGACCGGTGCGGATGTTGTTGCAAGGTACTGAGCAGAGGTCGGAACGGCTTTTTACGGGAAGAAACGGAAAGGTGTTTTGCGTGAAGACAAGAACTATGTTGGGTAAGCTTGGACCTGTGAAAATGTCGCATCGGTCTATGTTTATCCTGAGGGCCAAGCCCGGTCAGGGTGGCGCAACTCACGCACAAAAATGGCCACATGTTAGTCAGGAGTGATTTTATCTCGATACGCCAGCACTACAGACTTGGCATCCCCTATCCCACTAACCTCCATCGCGTGATAGCACGTTTGACTCCCTCCATCCGTCTAATCGCTCCGTCCCGGCATTGTAGCGATGCGAGGTCAACGGTCTAACGACCACGGCATACGCTTACATAAGCACCCGCCCCCCCCCATCTCCCTCCGTCTAATCGTCGGTCGCCACTACACATTAACACACACACCGCCGCGTTTCCGTTGATCTGTATTTGTGCCTTATAGGGTAAAGTTCCGAGCCAGGCTTCGCGCCCTGTTGGCGCTCTCCGCGCTGGCACCGCCCACCCTCGTCGCTGAGGTCATGGCGAGCGACAAGGAGAAGGAAGGGTGGGATGCCCAGGGGGAGGGGCTATCCTCGCTCTCGGACTTCCGCAGGTACTGCTGGTCGGTGTCTATGTTTGTCTTGTGTGGTGCGATACAAGGGAGTTGTTTGTGTTTCTTCTGCTGTGTTTGCCGTCCGACACAGAGGGAGGAAAATCCAAGCACGTAGGCAACGAAAGTAGTCATAGCGTGCGTGTATGGCGAGAGAGAGAGAGAGAGAGAGAGAGAGAGAGAGAGAGAGAGAGAGAGAGAGAGAGAGAGAG